TGTGTGTGTGTGTGTGTGTGTGTGTGTGTGTGTGTGTGTGTGTGTGTAAGAGAGAGAGAGAGAGAGAAACCTTCTTGTCAGTGCCAAAGTTCTGATAAGACTGGTCTATCAATAAGAAAACAGTGCAGTAAATTCTCTAATGCTTCTCACTGAGTAACTCACATAATGCTACAAGCTATGCATGTAAGAATGACAGCAAGAGCAAGAAAAGGTGACTAGAGGCCAATTCAATCAGTAAACTAGAACTGATCAAACAAAACCTGCAGGAAAGAATCGGCACTAATTGCAAGTACTAACGTCACAGCCAGGTCCCCAAGTTTACCCATGGCCCATACCTCTCCAAGGCAGCCTTCCTTCAGCATGTACTTCCTAACATGACTCCAGATTCGAGTTTTAGACAACAAGCTACCACCAGTAGCTTGCTCAAATTCCTCATAACTTCCGTATTTCTGTAAAGTCAGCTCCATAATATTGATGGACTGTAAAAGAAAGGGAGATAAAGAAAATGAGCAGCTCACGGCACTCTGAGACCAAGTTAGCTAGCTGTGACCTTATTTGTCAAGACCTGTTCAGATTTACTGTTACCGAGTCAAGCTCAAACTCTGGCCACACATTTTTCTAAGCTTGAACTATTTCCACTGACCATCAAAAATGTACATAAATGCCTGTGAGCTTACGAATTCTCTTGCGGGCACGGTGGTACATTCATGGTCTAAACAGCACGATCCTCCCAGGAGAACACAGTAAGACTGAGTCAGAAGGGGAAAGAATGAGGGGACCAAAAGAAACGCTCGTTTTTCCTATCTTGTCTTTTCAGCAGAGGTGCTGGGCTGCAGTTCTGCACACCGTGCCGCACAGAGGATCCTGGCTTCTTGACAAACACGGTGGCTTGGAGGAGCTCCAGAGTAAACCGAGCATGTCTTCAGATCAGTTCATAGGTTACAAGTGCCAGGTGGCAAGGGGAAAAAAACTTCACAAATTTAAAAACATCCAAAACAACCAGTCCTCTGCAACAACCTATAAGAGCTGCTTAAAATGCATCTATTGATTTATTTACTCGTGTGTTGTAGCTGTTTGTGTATGTGTGTCTGTGCACCGCTTGCATGCATCTGCTTTTTTTTTTTTTTTTTTTTGCAAAGTACCAAGAAAATGTTATTCAAAAGTACTGATCAGAAATACAGACGGCAGTCCACAAGAATGAAAGACTGCTAAAGGCTAAAAGTCACCTTTTATTCTGGTGACCAAAAAAAAAAATACTACTCTCTGGTGACAATAATAATAGCAACAACAACAGCCTTAAAATATCTCCAGCTTTCATCCAAGACAATGTACTATCCACTTCTCATCATCTTAAAAAGTTGAGATATTTTTCCAAATATACACAAGACAAAGTAAAGACTGATTAAAAATCTGGGTGATGAACACAGGTCATCAGAACCCCCTACAAGACCACAGGAGATAAAACCCCAAGTCAGAAGAAACCTGTTCTTCACACACCTTTCGGGAAAGAAGTAAGAAAATCCACGTGCTTAGTTCACGGTAGTCTGGGGCTGTCTGTCTGTCTGTCTGTCTGTCCTTGCAGACCTGATCCGGTTCCCAACACTCACACACCAGCTCACAGTGGTCTCTTAACTCCAGTTCCGGAGCCTACACCACACTCACATACACACAGGGAAGACACCCGTGCACCCGTCACTGTGAGCAGATCGCCGAAGGTGTGACTCTGCTCCCTCAGTGGCGAGTGCGGAGGACTCTGATACTCCACTTCAAAGCTGAGAAAATTCGGCCAGCCTTGGTTGTCAGTAAACGTTAACTGGCACACATCACTGACATGGCTCTTCTTTATCTGCACTACAAACATCGTAAAGTGTGTCAACACATATATACATTACTACTATAAAGCTATCACAACACAAAATTACCTCGATAGGCTTCTGTGCCAGAAACACACCCGAATGGAATAGCCAGGCTGTTTCTTTCATTAGTTTTTGTTTTTATTATATTCTGCCTGCACATACACCTGCACACCAGAAGAGGGCCCAGATCTCACTAGAGATGGTTGTGGGCTACCATGTGGTTGTCGGGAATTGAACTCAGGACCCCTGGAAGAGCAGCCAGTGCTCTTAACCTTCGAGCCATCTCTCCAGTCCTAGCCAGGACTGTTCTAAACGTAGACCTTAGCCCATTGCTTATAAATCAGAACCTTGTTTTTTGTGGTTGTACTGGCTGGTTTTGCGTCAACTTGACACAAAGTACAGTCATTGGTGAGGAAGAACCTCAGTTAAGGAAATGCCTCCATGAAATCCAGCTGTAGGGCATTTTCTTCATTAGTAACTGATGGAGAATGGCACAGCCCATTGTGGAGGTACCATCCCTGGGCTGGTGGTCCTGCTATAAGAAAGCACACTGAGCAAGCCAGGAACAAGCAAGTAAGCAGTACTCCTCCATGGCTGCTGCATCGGCTTCTGCCTCCAGGTTCCTGCCCTGTTTGAGTTCCTGTCCTGACTTCCTTCAATGATGAAGTGATGTGGAAGAGTAAGCTAAATAAACCCTTTCCTGCCCAACTGGCTTTTTAGCCATGGTGTTTCATCAAAGCAATAGAAACTCTAAGACAGTGGTAAGACAGTGGTGGTGGGGGTTTTTTGTTTGTTTGTTTTTTGTTTTTTGTTTTTTTTTAAGACAGGGTCTCAGACCAGGCTGGTTTCAATTCACAGAAATCCACTTGCCTCTACCTCCTGAGCACTGGTATTAAAGGTGTGCAGTACCATGCCTGGCCCCAGAACCTGCTTTTTGGTTTGTTTGTTTGTTTGTTTGTTTGGTTGGTTGGTTGGTTGGTTTTTTTGAAACAGGATTTCTCTATGTAGCCCTGGCTGTCCTGGAGCTAGCTATATAGACCAGTTTTGCCTTGAACTCAGAGATCTGTGTGCCTCTGCTTCCCAAGTGCTAGAATTAAAGGTATGTGCCACAATGCCTGGCCCCAGAACCTGCTTTTAACAAGATCCCCAGGTAATTCAAATACAGTAAAATGGAAGAGATATACAGAACTGTAAGTATAGCACAAGAGTCTTCCATAGGCTGATTGCTTTGTGTGACAACTAGGATATTTAAAAGTACAAATTAGCAATAATGAAAGCCAAATTAGCAAAGATATTTTATATCCTCTAGTCTAATGTCTACCATCATCTACTGATAAAATAGTGAAAAAAGCATGTGAAAACCAGGCTTTAGAAACTGCAGAAGAGAGTGGGTGTGCTCGCCTATTACAGTGACAGCCTAAAAAGTTTAAATTTTTCACTATAATTTTTGCCTATACTTTTCAAATGTTTTTCTATTATTTTACATTTATTCTTCCTACTAGTTTTTTTTTTTTAATCATGTTTTTAGTTACAAAAAATAGCTTTTCTGGGCATGTTTACGTAGGAAAATGTGGTGATCTTGTTATTACACAGGTCTTCCTTATATTTTTGCTGTCCTTGTCAAAGAAGATGTGTCAATAGTGGCGAGTGTGTTTAATGAGGAGGTGTTAACACAGCATTACATGGTACATAAAACACCACCACTTCCCCATCCAAGCTTGCCTTATCTGGCACCGTTATAGTGGCCATACCACATGGGGTTAGGCTGATGTTTTCAAAAAGCTTGATATTTAACATCAAATAGTGGGACTGCAAATGTATATTAATGGGTAGAGCCCTTGCTTGGCATGCGTGGAGTCCTGGGTCTGACACAATTCTGCAGTAATAAAAACAAACAAACAAACAAAAAGAGGTCTGTGATCCCAGGACTGGGGAGGTAGGAAGGAGGCAGGATCAGAACTTCAAGTTCTGAGCATGAGGCCAGCTTGGGCCATGTCTTTAAGAAAAAAAACCAAAAACCCACTTTACATGCAGCTTATGTGGAGACAGTATTTAGAACCTACTAGAATTTTTTTCTTGTTATCAATAATTCTGAATGTTCGAATCCCTGCCCCCAGGGCCAAAAGATAAAATCCATGACTGAGTAGGGCAGGGGATAGATCTTTCTGTTTTCTTTCCTTCTCTGGAGACACGGTCTCATGCAGCTGAGGCGGCCTCTAACTCCTAACCCTCCTGTCTTTGCATCCTGAACTGGGCTTGTAGATAAGTGCATCACACCAGCTCCATCTTCCTGCACGTCCAGGTTCTTAACACAGGTGTGGGATGCAAAGCACCAACACAAGTCAAGATAGTTTTGTCAACAGGTTTCAGCAGCAGCTTAACTCCATAATTAGGAAGAAATCTACTTAGTTTTTCCAGACAGCATTTGTCATTTTAAAATCTTTATCATATTCAATGTGTTTTGCCTCCCTGTATGTCTGAGCATCATGTGTGTGCCTGCGCCTGCAGAAGCCAGAAGAAGGCATCAGATTCCCTGGAAGTGGAGCAACAGACGGGTGTAAGCTGCCATGTGGGTGCTGGGGACTGAACCTGGATCCTCTGCAAGAGTGGCCAGTGTTCTTAGCTGCTGAGCCATCCCACCAGGCCCTCGATTCTGTCAAAAGTAAATACATTTCTTATTGACAGCGGGTAGATAGGAAAGCCCTATTCCAAAAAGTGAAAAGCAAAGAAAAAAAAAAAAAAAGGTGCTACTTTCTATCGATTAGGCTGACTGTAGGAGAAAACAAAAAGATGGATGTAACAACAGTAGTTGATGAACACTTGGAGAAACCAGAACCTTTATTCATTACTGGGGGACAGCAGCCCACGGTAAGCACCTTCAAGTTCATCAGAGGTTAGCACTAGCATTAAAGCTTTAAATGTTTCCTCTGTAAAGTGAAAATCTTTTTCTCTATAAAATGTTCATCATTGTCTTTGATGAGAAGACAAACTTTCTAGAAAAAAAAAAAATCTGCTCTGCCAACCGACCTGCTTTTGGTTTACTTGCTGATTTTGTTTTCTGTTTAGTAATCTGGAAATCTGATCATCACAAGCCACTTCCACAGTCACGCGCTAACAAACTAATCTCTCTTCTCAAGTGCAGGGTCTCTCAGTGGAAACCTACTTATAATGGGGACACTGACACACAGGCAGGGCCAGCCTGTCTGCAGAGGAACAGTTGGGAGGCCTGGTTTCCCATTAAGGACCCAGCACTGGGCAACGTGATCACAGGTGTATCATTCTACCTTTCCCAGGCTTGGTCACTGGCACCATGGAGAAGGCACAAGTCCTTGCCCTACTTACTTTACAGAATTGTTGTAAGGACAAAACGGACACGGGAAAGTCCATGCTCTGTAATCTTTTTCCCAAGTCACTAGACAGTATTGAATTTGTCAGAACTTCTAGCCTTTAATTTTAGAACTTACGGTAAATGTTTTGCCCTCTAACTTCTTTATTAGAGGCAATGTCTTTCCTACTTTGCTAATATCCAACCCAAATATTCCATTTCCTTCCTTTAGAGAAAACACAAAATCTAAGAATTTTCTCCTTAATTCTGAATAACTTCTCAAACTCCTAGACTCAACAGACCATTTTACCTTAGCCTTTTACGTGCTGGGACTTCAGGCAGAATCAAACTGTACCCAACAAGATAGACTTCTGTGTGTGTGATGGGGTGGGGAGTGTCTTCAGATAGGATCCCACATACCCTAGGCTGGCCTTGAGCTATGTAGCCAAGGATGACCTTGAACTTCTGGTTGTCTTGTCCCTGACTCCCAAGTGCTAGGATTATAGGCATTGTACTCTTAAACCCAACCAAGGTTAAAAAAAAAAAAAAAAAATCACAGCAAGGGCATGGAGAGATGACTCAGAGGTTAGGAACATTGGCAGTTCCTAGAGAGGATCCTGGTTGATTCCCAGCACTTATGTGGCAATTCAAAACTGTCTGTAACTCCAGCTTATGGTCTCTAAGAGCACCAAGCATACACATGATGTAGACATACATGGAGGCAAAACACCCACATACAGAATAAATTTTAAAAATATATGGCAGTATGAGGGAATGAACCTGGGGCCTCGTGTTCTGTAGGCAAGAGCTGTAGCACTGAACTACAGCCCTGGGGTGTCCTAGCTAGCTTCGACTGCCAACTTGACACAGCCTAGAGCCACCTGAGAGAGAAGCTTCCTAGATTACACTGTCCTCTTGACATGTCTATGGACGACTGTCTTGTCAGTTGATAAAGGACAGCTCACCCACTGTGGGTGGCATCATTTCCTGGACAGGTAGGCCTGGACTATATAAAAAAGCTAGGTAAGCATGACCCTGCCCACGAGTGAGCCATCAGGCAACATTTTCCCATGACTTATGCTGTATTCCCTTAGCTGTGAGTTTCCTGGTGAGAGCAATGCTTCATGGAGTTGTAAGCAGCCTTGCCTTCCAATTCCAGCCCTGCCTTCCCTCAGTGATGGACCAAACCCATAAGCCAAAATAAACCTTCTCCTCCCTTCAGTTGCTTTTGGTTTGAGTGTCTTATCACAGCAACAAAATGAAACTAGAGCAGGCTAGCGGCTGGCTCATACTGGAGAGCTTCCTGCCTCAGCATCCTGAGTACTAGGGCAACTGGCACATACAACCTCAAAAGGCTGTCTTCAGCACCCAGGGGAGATAAATAAATAGTATTTTTACAATTATAAAATTTAAATTTATGAGACTCCAACTCAATAACATTCTCTACAGAAGCAAAGGAAAAAAAAAAGAAAACGCATCAGGATGATTACCAACTAAAAACAACAAAAAGCTCGGCCGGGGATGTAGCCAAGTTGGTGGAGGGCTTGCCTAAGATGCCTGAAGCCCAGGCTTTGATCGGCAGCACAGCAAGCAGATGAATCATCAGAAGGTTAAGGTCACTTTCCCTACACAGGGAACTCTAGACTAAACTAGGCCATCTGAAATCCTTTCTCAACAACAAAGTTTTACACTCACTGAAAAACAAAAGAGCAAGAGTTTTTCTATCAAGGAAAATAGATGAACACATTTGAAATCACTTTCAGAATTTTGGGAAGGTTTATAAACTAGACATGACAGCACACTCCCGTCATCCCAGGACTCCATTTACTTTTAAACTGTGTGTGGTGGTGGCACATACATGCATGGGAAATCAGAGGACAACTTTTAGGAGTCAGCTCTCTCCTACCTAATCTTCTAAAGGATTTATTTATATGTTTTATGTATACGAGTATGATGTCTTCACGCACAGAAGAGGGCATTGGATACTATTATAGACAGTTGTGAGCCGCCATGTAGTTGCTGGGAATAGAACTAGGGACCTCTGGAAGAGCAGCCACTGCTCTTAACTGCTGAGCTATCTCTCCAGCCCCTTCTTACCTAATCTTATGGGTCTTGGGGACTGACTGACCTGAGGTCCTTAGGCTTGGTGGCAGGAGCCTTTACCTGCTGAGCCATCTCACCACTGCAATCCCAGTACTTGAGAAGTGGAAGTGGGAAGATCCAGATCAAGGCCATACTATCAGCCTGAGGTTAGCCTGGGTTTCTAGCTCCTATCTCTAGTGCGCTCATGAGTGGATGCACTATGATGGTACAGCAATTGCCTAGCACGCACAAGACTCCTAGGGGGAAAAACTGACTATAAAACACAAACAGTGAAGTCTACCTAATCTTTACCAGTGGGCTAGCTAATGAGCTACAAGTTCATAATCCCAAGTCAAAGCCTAGAATACTGTCTTCTACAGTCAAAGAACACAGTGCAGCGTCTATAAATTTTGATTACTGCAACATAGTTCTCACACAGGTGAGCAAACACTCACCTGCATATTCCTTATCACACACCCCACCGTCCTTGGTGGCAGCTGATTACAGAGGCTACTAAGGTGTCTCCTTTTGCTTCTGCAGTGGTAGGAAACTGCTTTAGCTCCGTAACGATGAACTACTACTACAGAACTGCTACCACAGAAGTGGCATTTTACCTGCTTCAGAAACCGGTCGGAGGCGTTGCTGTGCTTGGCTAACACATTTGGCAGAACGGGATTGGAATATTCAAACTGAGGGTTGTACGTGTAGTCTGACTTGAAGAACTTCAGCTTCTCCCTCTCCAGGTTGGTGGGCTTTATGGCGGTGAGTATGCACAGCTTCTTCCCAGAAAGGTCGTCTCCTTTCTCAAAGCTTCTGCACAGCTGCGGCTGCGGCTTTGGCTTCGAAAGAGGGGTCAGACTGTGGCGCGTGGCCTTGCTTTTTGGTTTAGGTGGCAGTGTTATGCCGCTCCCTGAAACAGAGATATCACGGGTAAACTTTACAGGACTTGGTGCTGAGCTTGTGACAACAACAGCAGGCTGCCTCTCCAGGCAGTACCAAGTCGCATTGTTTGTCACAGGAACCAGGGTTGTCCTCCTGTTAGAGTCTTTGCTACAAGAAGAGCTAGGAGATTTGCTGGGCTTTCTATGCTGTTTGGAGTGGGCAGAGGAAGACTGCTTTTGTGAATGGTGCTTTCTCTCCTCCTTGCTCTGTAGCAGAACATTGTAACTACTGGTCCCAGTTGTGAAAGTGTCCTTGAGAACGCCACAGGACACATTTGAAAAGCTTCTTTTGCTGTCAATGGTCAATGCCTCTTCTGCATTTAGAACAGACTTCTTAGCAAGTTCATGCTCAGGCCAGTGAAGCTTTTCTGTGATAATAAAACCAAAACAAAGAAACAATAGAGATGCCAATGAAGCAAACTGCTTATTAAATGGAACCTATGCTGGAGGTTCTATGGACTATATAAGCTTGCTAACATCTTTAAAAAAGCTGTCTCCAATATTAAAAGGTCATATTACTATGATCACATAAATTGTCTGTCAAAATGCTCAGCTTTAAGCTACATGTGGTCAAACTCTAACAACACGTGAAATAATGCACAAAAATACTCTGAATGCCTCACACTGTGAACTTCACAAGGTCAGATTGTGTAATAGCAGAGCATCGTCCAGGACACTTTCAAACTTAACATAGTCTTGATGCTTAGAACTAAGTACAAAGAACCATCAATAAGGGAAGAGAGCTGGGGTGCTGCCCCACTCCTGTGATCTCCAAACTCACAAGACTGAAGCAAAACAACTGCCGGCGGTCTGAGGCCAGGCTGGGCTGCCCAGTGAGTACCAGTCCAGAGTCACATAACAAGACCTTATCTTAAAACAAACTGCAGCTGGGCGTGGTGGTGAACACCTTTAATCCTAGCACTTGGGAGGCAGAAGGCAGGTGCATCTCTGAATTCAAGACCAGTCCATAGAGTTCCAGAACAGCCACGGTTACACAGAGACAAAAAATTACAACCAAACAAGCACACCCCTCAACAGAAAACCCCCAAAGTCAAACCTGAAAAACATTTTTCAGATTCTGGAGATGGTCAGAGTGGCACATGACTTTAACCCCAGCTCTTGGGAAGCACAGGCAGTGGATATGTATGAGTTTGAGACAGCCTGATCTACAGTGAGTTCCAGGTCAGCCAGGGCTGCACGTAAGATCAGTTAGTGTTAATACTTGTTTAGGAGCTGGGGATGTAGCTGGTGCCGGAATGTTTGCACTTCTCCGGCACAGAAGAGCAGTGACTGTAATTTTAAGGGAGTGGTGGTGGTAGCACAATCTGTAATTCCCAAACTTAAAAGGTAGGAGGAGGATTGGAATTTCAGGGTTATCCTTAGACAAATACTTCAGGCCAGCCTGTGCTACATGAGATACTACTGTCAAAAACAAACAAACAACAACAAAAATGTGATCACTATTACAAAAGTCTCACTGTGTTAAATGGCAAGTTGGAGACTTCGTCTTTAAGTCTCATGAACAGTTAAGAGTCATAAAGACTGCAGCTCATGCACTAGCTTCACACTGTTCGCTGGGCATGGTGGCTCACATGTGGAATTCCAGCACTTCAGAGACGGCAGTGGGAAGCTCGAGTCCAAGATCATCCTTATCTACACAGAGAGCTCTAGGATAGCCTGGGGTGCATGAGATCCTGTCTCAAAAATTAATGTTATATTTATCCTTTTATTCCACAAATGGATAGGATGTGTGGCACATGTTTCTAATAAACATCTACGTGAATACATACGTAAGTTGCTCCTGTGAACAGTGTGCTTTTTCCCACCAGTGCTGGGGACTGAACCCATGGCCTTCTGTATTCTAGGTGAGCACGCAACCACTTAGTCACGGCCTCAGTCCTACAGCTGACTCCCAGCTCTGAACACAAGGCATTCCTATACAACATAGCATAGCATGGGTTAAAAGAGGAGTGATGGGGGCTGGAGGGATGGCTCAGAGGTTGGAAGCACTGGCTGCTCTTCCGGAGGTCCTGAGTTCAATTCCCAGCAGCAACCAAGTGGTGGCTTATAGCCATCTATAATGAGATTTGGTGCCCTCTTCTGGTGTGCAGGCACACTTGCAGGCAGAAGAGTGTATAGATAATAAATAAATATTGGGAAAAAAAAGACGTGTCAGGATCCCTGCATGTTACAGAGACTAGGAATGATGGCAAACAGCCCTCATAGGACAGTTACCTACACAGTAAAACATTCCAAAGTACCATCATGTCAAAGTATAACGGGTTTCACTTGGTAGTCCAGGCTGGCCTAGAATTCACTATTCATTCTAGACTGGCCTCAAACTCAGAGATTCACTTCCCTGGCTTCTCAAGTGCTGGAATCACAGAGGTAGCTCACCATGCTTGGCAGTACTGATTTTTAAAACATGAATATTCAATGTAAAAAAAAAAAATAGTTGATTCTGAAAACTTATTGTATTCTTTTGGTTTTGGTTTTTTGTTTGTTTGTTTGTTTGTTTTGAGACAGGGTTTCTCTGTGGCCTTGGCCAACCTGGAACTCACTCTGTAGACCAGGCTGTCCTCAAACTCACAGAGATCCATCTGCCTCTGCATCCCAGAGTGCTGGGATTCCAGGCGTGTACCACTGCACTCAGCTGCACTTACAGTATTCTTAAGACCAAAGAACTAAGTATTTTATTTACTCATAAAGTACCAGAAACCTACAAATTAATGACTTTTCCCTATTTTAAAACCCATTAAGTGGCATACAACTTTAACTCCAGCACTCCTGAGGCAGCGGCAGGTGGATCTCTGTAAGTTCCAGACCCAGCCTAGTCTACAGAGGGAGTTTCAGGCCAGACAGGACAGCACAGCGAGATTCAGTCTAAAAGAGAAAACAAAACCTACCTTACCTAGCATGGGTAAAGCCCTAGATTTAACCCACCCCCCGACCCCACCATGGAAGAGTTTTGCAGCACACTTGGAAAGGAGGTGGAGGCAGGAGAATAATTGGTTCAAGATGCTTTAAATTACATAATGTTTAGACTAGCTTAAACAGAAAAACAAAACCAAACCAAACAAAAAACAAATACTAAAACACTGCAGCTCCCCCTCTCCCTTGAGGAATCCACAGCCACACTTGGCTCTACTGTGAGAAACCATACCCGCTTTGTTGGGTGTGTCTTGCTTCCTTCTGAACGCCTCTCTTACCCTTGTTTGTAAGCCTATTTCAACATATCTTTATTTAGCCCACTCCTTGGGAGGTGCCTAGGAGGAACAGGGAGAAGTGGGAAGTGCATATAATCAAAGGCATATGATGGTGAACGTGTGGAATTGCAAAAAATAAACAAAAGTATTCTATTAAAAGCAACAATCCTGCTTGCAAAAATAAAACACTTCTGCCAAAATCTTCATGGAGGAACAGGAAGTAGCAGACGGGTGCCCGACAGAATCCCTCTCCCCAGGAGCCCTGGCATTTCACTTGCTAATGGTCTGCTGGAGGCCTAGTTCCATCTGTGCTGGAGTCTGCAGTGATGATGAGGCCAGTCCATGGCAGCCAGTGCAGGGGGCCACTTGGCAGTCCTGCATGAACTCGTGTAAGATGTGTAGATTTTTTTCCCCAGCTGCACTAATCCTATTTCAGTTCTATTAAATGGTGCAGAACCTAGTTGTTTGTGGAAGCTCACACATTTAATAGCAGCACTCGGAAGGCTGAGGCAGAAGTGTTGTGAGTTAAAGTGAGCCAGAGCTACAGAGCAAGAATCTGTTTCAAAACACAAAAATTGGGCCATCAAGATGGTCAGTGGGGGGCTTAAGAGCACTGGCTGCTCTTCCAAAGGTCCTGAGTTCAATTCCCAGCAACCACATGGTGGCTCATAACCATGATGGTATTTGGTGCCCTCTTCTGGCCTGTTGGCACACATGCAGGCAGAACAACTATAAATACTAAAACTTTAAAAAGAAAAAAAAAAAAAAAAGGAAAAAAGATGGCTCTGTGGGTACTTGCCATCAGTCTTGTCAGCCTGCGTTCTATTCCTGGAACCCACAAGGTGAAGGAACAGAATGACTCCCACAAGTTGTCCCCTAACTCCAGAGCACTTCAGTCACTCACAAATCCTTCATTAAAAACCTGGAATGACTGCAAAGCTGGCCAAGAACCTGTGGCTGAGGAGGCCGTATGCCCTAGGGAAGAACCTGCCAGTGGGCAGAGGTTCAAACTGCCTGTGAATACTTATCCTTACGCCCATACATCAGTGCAGGTCTCTGCTCTCACTGCGGTAGATAGACATTGGTTCACACAGAGACTCACAACCATCAAAGTGCAGGCACCGTGACTGTGGGATGGTCAGCTGTATCAGCCCCCCATTTCCAGGGCTCAGGGAACACTCCAGAAAAGAAGGCGGAAAGGTTACAGGAGCAAGAACATAGGGAGGACTCATGTGCAGCAGTGTTTTCTGGGCACAGGAAGGCTGCTGCGGCCATCGACTCACAGCAGCTGTGGCTGCTTGCACAAGATCAAGCCAGCCAATGGTCGCCGGAGAGGAGAGAAAAATCTTCATCAGTAGTCACTGGTAAAGTGCTTGTATTTCTGTAAACTGTCCCTCACCCATATTCCTGTAAGTATCTCTCATAGGGCAACAAAACCCTGCGTGAAGGGGGCCTAGCTGGAAAGCCATGGATTGGAGAAGGATGAGAGAGTTGAGGAGGGGCGAATATAACCCAAACCCATTATGTATATGCATACAGTTCTCTCTGTATACAACCAGTCTAGGCTAACTGAACATTTTGAAACATAAATAGTATACATAATAATGATAAAGAAAAAATTTTAAATAACATAAATAGTATTACAACATTAAATGCCTTTTCAGCATTAGTGCTCTGGTAAACACTGAATTTGCCAACACAATGAAAGCTTCATATGTATCTAGAACAGGAGAAAAGGACACTCAAGATTCCTGGCTTCAGCC